AGGACAAATCGGGCCTCTATGCTACAAAAAAAACCCTATGGAAGAACAAACACGTTTAGCCGGTCGCGAATTCACAATTTGTGAGTGCATCGTGCAATATTTTACTAAGAAAATTTGTGTAACGGTGCATGAAACCCCGTAATTCGGAGCATTCCGGAAAAGGAAGGTCCCGGAAATTTCACAAGAGGGCCAACGAATATGCAATTTGTTCATGCATAATGTTCCCAAGGAAAAACTTGCATGACAGCTCTGAGTGGAGTGTATCACGACATTTCGTGTGTTCGAGTTCCTGTCTCGATTTTTTATTTTATTTTTATTTTTGTTTGTTGATTAGAAAGACGTTTTTCCAATACGTTAATTTCCGCCAATGACAACAATAGATAGAAGTTGAATGCTTTCAATGATGTGTTAGGGGGAATAGACTCGGGCAAGCCGCATCCGTGAAACCTTTTATTATCCATTAATAGTACATGGCAATTAATTTCTTGTGATGCGTTGCCTCCAAACCACCAAAAGAACAATTGACCCTTTATTTCAAGGACAATTTAAAAATATCAAGGGTGGCGGTGGTCACTTATAATTAGGCACTGATCAAATTGTGAAGATTCAAAAATAAAAGGGTAGCGCCATCCAATTTTATGAATAGGATTTTGCATTACAATTTTCCTTTAATGAATGAATTACCCAGTTCATCCACATCACGATTAGCCATAAATATATTAGCCAGTAGAGTCGAAATGCATATCAACTGCATACGCATACCTGATAACCCATAAACATCAACCCACGGGCATCCAATCAGAAATCGAATATTACATAAAGTAAACGCCCCTACCCTTATTATATATACGTACTGTATATTATGTTATCGTGTGTAAAGTTCCCGGATCTCTTATCAGATGTCCAATTGGCGACTGCCAAAGCATTACGAGTATGTTATATGGGTTTGTCTTGCTTTTTTAGTTAATGCTAATATACAACTATTGTAGCTTCAAAAATAAAAACTCTAAAAAAGATTTAGACATGCACGAACGTTTTCAATGAAAACTTTTTAGTGCATGGTCGACTGAATGTCCATATTAGTCTTACTCAAAAAAAAAAAAAAGTCTGCACCGCTAACCCGAGTTTACAAGAAAGTTTGAAAGCGTTGCATGTGGATAAATGCTATTGATTTTATATTATATAGCGGATGTTTACACGCATATTTATTTATTCTTTTTTTTTTTTTTTGTTATCATAGTTGCGACTTACATTATGCGTTTTTCGGGAATAACTCTTTGATCTGAGATATTGTAAAAATTTATGAGGAAATAGGTTTTGATGTTGAATTAGAAAGCCATTGAAGTAAACATGACTAAATAGAACAGTGCAATGCTTTATTTGAAGTTGTTACATAAAAAATATGTGCGAATTTTTTCCGTCGGTGAGTTCAATTCTTTATAAAAACCGCCTCTTGGTAGAATGTTTTTGAAGATTGGCGAGATTGACTCAGATCCTCGGACTCGTCAATTACAGATAACGACCTAGTTACATTGCTCGATTTTTATTATGACTTGTGCTTCTAATTTGATGACCTCCTTCGTTGTGCCTGCATCAATCACATTTACAATACAGATCTCGCCAACCTTTCTTTTTTAGAAAACTTACGACTTCATTATATTTTAAATTGTATTCTCAAAAAAAAAAAAAAAAAAAATCACGGTACACTGGAAATCAGCGATTTATCAATTGTGCTTTAAACAAACAAACAATAAATTCGTTGAACTCCTATTTTTTTTGCACACACAATATAAAAAAAAAAGTATTTAATAGCGGGGGTCCTCGAAATTTTTTATTTAGACTTCCGATTAAATTCAAACCTTTTTTCTTTTCTTTTATTTTTTTTTCACTTTCCCTCCTCTCACCGACGCAAGTCATTAATTAAATGCTTTAGAGCATAATTTTATCAATTGAGCTCGAGAGTTAACAGATTCCTTATATTCTTCCCTGACACCTTTTCATCCATCCATCATGTCCTTTGTGGATCAACACCAATCCATTTCTTGTTCCAAAGTTACGGCCACCAGCGGTGGATCTTCATGTAATGACAATACCCATAAATCTCCAAAGCGTGAGAGAAAGAACACCCTTCGAATTCTTATTCATGCGACCAAGCAATTGTTAACCTCTCCTTCGACCTCCCCAATCTTGTTCGAGGAACCGGGTTCTTCCCCGTCTCCCATCAATGCCGAATCCACATATTTTTCTTTTCCTGAGTACGAGACCTACGACTACGACGAGATGAATGTCAAGATCGATGACTCCCTTGATTCTCGGGGTGAGGTCGAGAATATGGTAGTTCAAATGGTAAAATTCGACGAAATGCTGGTTAACGGTGTCCGGGTTCTCGCCGCTATTTAACTTCGGAATCATCCCGACTGTTACCAGGGATGCAAGAGAAAGAATTCACGAGAATTCTAGCGACGCAAAACGCAATCGAAAAAGATGATTTCTAATGATTTTATGATGATTTTTTTATCGATTCGATTTGACAACGATTTTTTTTTTTAAAAAAAAAACAACAAACAAAAAAACTAAAAAAACTCAAAAAAAAAAAAAAACTCAAAAAAAAAAACAAACTGGATGTATAAAAAATCTTTTTTTTTCAATTATAACATTTTTCGATTCATACATCAAAGAAAAAACTCGTGCATAAAATGTGCAAGTTTTTTCGAAAAGGGGAAGGAAAAAAATTTTTATTTTTTTCCAAAAGTTTTATTTTATTTTAAGAATTACCCACCATAAAGATTATAAAATTACCCACCATAAGGATTATAAAGATTCACCTACGCATATAAATATCATGGCTGGCAAGACATCTCCCTAAAAAAAAAACTATGACGATACGTATAAAAACGGAAGAAAATATCTTCATTACCCACCCACGGTCTTGATCTCGGGGACCATCACTTCCTCTGGTCATTCGTTCTCCCGATTTCAGATCTTCTCGATTCGATCATATACAAAGACTTTCTCGAATTATTCAAAACGCGACGTACATTTTATCATTATTATTATCATTATTATTATTATTTGGAAATGGAAGAAACAAACGAACGCTTTCTGTATCATTCAATTCCCCCCCTAAAAATTTTTTGTCACGAACGAATGTGTACAATTGATCGGAAGAAAAACTCGTCACGTAAGATGTAACCTTTTTAATTCGCAATTATTGCGTCACCTTCCACGATGGAAGCAACGATTATATTTTTGTATTCCTGTTCTCTATTTTTTTTGTATATATTACATCTTGTTTGCCCTTTCTACCAGACAGATACTTTTCCTTTTTTTTTTTCCTTTTTTCTTTCTAACAAAATTACTATTATTTTTTTATTATTATTAAAAAATTCTGGTTTTAAAATTTCGTCCCATCAAAATTACTGATTTCTCATTTTTATTTTTTTTCTTTTTCGATGTGTTGTTGTATAGTACTTTTTTTAAGTAGCAAAATATGCACCCTTTTTTTTTTCCTGTATATATTCTTTTTATCCATCATACCAATGAAAAAAAATAAGCTTTTTTGTTTTTTTTTTTACAAAAAATAAAATAAAAATAAAAAATAAAAAATAATTTAAAGTTGTTAATGACGTGTCGCACTCTAAAATTAGCGATTTTCTGGAATTGAGATTTTGCCTTTTAGGGACAACCGATCCCATCAAAAATAACAAGTGACGAGTGTTTAGAAACATTAAACCCGTTTCAACGGAGAAGCAAGGTTTTGCATGTTTAATGTAACGTGCATACCGATTATTCTCTTAATAATTATACTTTAATATGGTAAGTAATGTGTGCGAACGGTCGCTGCAAGGACTCCCCAAACAGTTTCCGAGTTCTCTTTTGATCTGACCGCTTTACTTTTTGGTGTAAGCTTTATTTTTTTTTTTTTCCGAGAAACTTTCACACGACACTCGGTTGAATCACCAGAGTACATACGTATTATTATTTTTAGCAAATGAGACGGCCTCAGGCACACAATGCAATTATCCGGTCCCTGGGAAGGAAAAGCCAAAAAAAACTACAAAAACATAAAGAGAAAATACTCCAACAATAATAATAATAATAATAATAATAACAATATTACCGAATTAAGAATAAATTTCATCCGTCTAACCATTAAAGAAATGGTCACTAATCGATGAAACCGCATGATCGTGAACTCTTATTTGGCATGGTAAACCCTCTTCCGCTAATTCCGCATTTTCAATTTTTTCTATACACCGTACTGCACACTATTTCGAAACGCATTTGTGGATCGTTTTGAGATGATTTTTATTCATGAGTAAAAGAATTAATTACATCCGCACGCACGTAAGTAATATCGGTAATATCGATTCTTTCCTAAGCAATGATTTATTTTTTTTTATTATGTACTTTATCTTCGAAATCCAATTGAATAATTGCAAAAAATCTATTATACTGTTATACTGTAAATACACAATATGTTATGCTATATACGGTGCGTGCAATACGCATACGCACGTTTGTTTACTTGGAAAGCAAGATAAGACACTTGAGATGATAATGTTTTCATCTGATAAAATACTGATTCTCTTGTTGATAAAGGGCATGTTTGTTGCGGCAATCAACTACACAATCAGAAGTCATAAATACGTAAATTGCCATTCTGTACGTTATTTACGATGGTGTGATTCTGTGTCAATCGTTTAAAAAAACATGAAAGTACGGCATGGTGGTACTAGTTTCGATCCTTAACCAGGTGCGTATACATTCGAACATTCTTCATTTTGAAACAGAAAAATTAATTTTCGACATATGCTGCTGCACATAACTAGTTGGCTGCTTTTACTGTCATTATATGTTTTTTTTTATTTTCATATCAGCCACTTTGCCGCATATTTTTATGCTGTACATTACGTAATGCCGACGGATCGTCCTGACGCATGCTTGGAGAAAATGAATTCGACCTTGTCACGTCATTTCTGCATTACAAAATGGCGTGTAATTCTCCATCCAACATTTCATGACCCGGGTGCCGAACATTTTTTGGTGATTTATCGGTGTCATGATGCAATTTTCTTGTTCTGTCGTATATTTCACGCCGTCGGTGAACAATGGACCATGATTCCGGTTTGTCAAATGGCAGGCGTATTTTGTTAAGGCACTAACGATTTAAAACCGAAAAATTCAAAAACAATGTGGGGTGAATGAATGAATACATGAATATGTAAGCAACTGTTAAATTATATCTAAAAATAGTAGCAATACAAAACAGCCACAATTAATTTATGACCGTTTGACATCTCCGGCTAAAGACATATATGCACACATAATTCTACTTTTGATCGGTTCCCGGGATTTTTTTAGCCACCAGACATCAGCATGCCTTCAACATTTGGTAACGTCGAGGTATGCATGGTGTAAACATAAACGAAGAATGAACGGAATTTGTCTGTATTTAGAACACGGTGATGTCTGTGCGGATACCCGAGTTGTAAATACAAGATCTCCCGCATAATCGTGGGAGTATGTTAATATTGCTGGGCATGCATTCTCTTATGCAATTATCATCTTTGGATAAATAGATGCTAAAACTACGGAGGTTGGATCGTATTCCGAAAAAACATTAGATCGCATAATATTGTTTTTTAACGCACATTGTGATCCTGCATGAGAACACCACTTTAATTAGCGTGAAATTTAGAGTCGACATGTTGCATCTGAGAATGCAAACATGAACCCTCAAATGGTTTGATGAGTTTTACCTTCATCGGCACACTGTAATAAGATCACTGTATTTATAGTTGTGGTGGCGAGAAATCTTGAAATACCGATATAAATTTAGAATAAAAAAAATACACCATCATCATTACAATTAAAATTAAATCCGCATCCAAAAATAACAATAACAAAAAAAAAAAAAAAAAACTTTGTATATTATATTTCGCATTCATATTTTGTACTTTATATAATTGTACTATGTCATAATCAAGATATCTCATTTTTTATTTTATTTTTTGAATTGCCCCCACTAATGTCATCATTGTTTGCGATTCAAATTAAGATAATCGATAACCATAATCATCTTTAACTTTTACCCCATTGTAAACATATTAAAGAATAAAATTTGCCAAAAAGTTTTATTATTATTATTATCATTATTATTATTTTGCAAAACATATTGGACAAAACCATATTGTTGTTTCGTTTCATTCAATTGTAAAAAAAGTGGACATTTATTTATTTATTTATTTATTATTTATTTATTTATTGGGCGGAAATATACTGTATTTCGTTAATTATATTATAATAATCGTTTTTTTGCATATCTGTTTATCTTTTAATAATTATAGTATTTTTTTAAAAAAATTATTTATTTATTATTTATTTATTAGAATTTTTATACCTTGTTATTTTATTCTAAAAAAAAAAAACGTCTCTTCGCATGTTAAATGAGGGTATTATTATACTAACTAGAAGAAAAACTCGTTTTAAAAAAATATACTACAGTATTTACGGCATAATTTAAAAATTTTTCAAAAAAAAATATTAACATCGTTTTTTTTTTTTTTGTTGTTTACGAATTAATAAATTTTATTTTTTTTTTTTGAAAAAGAAGTATAATACTGTACTGTATAAATTACTATTTAAATTATTCATCAATTTTAATATACTGTAGTTCTAATGATTAAATTTTAAAAAACACGTGTAATTTAATAACACCTTTTTGTTAGTAATAACAAATTTGAAATTATGGTATTTATAAAAATTTATGTTTATTTATTAATAAATTCTTTGTAATAAGTAAAAAAAGTCTTGATTGCCGTGCAAACATATCGTATATTACCAAATAAAAGCAACCGAAATTTGACAAAAATTGGTATTTAAAAATCATCAGGTTGCTTTTATTCAGGTCTAAAAAAAATCTAGA